ACAGGTCCATGCTGTACCTACAGCTGAATTGAGGAGAGCAACAAGAGCAGCTGATTAATTTAACCTGTTCCTGCTCTACCTGGCACATGTTGCCTGACGGCACTTGATGAAATGCATCCATTCTCACTCTCTTTTCTCCTCCTTAGATTACTGTTGAGATATTGGAACTCTCGGACAATGATTCCAGCCTCTCTCTTTGACCTGCACAGCTTTTCTGGTTCCTCTTTTTCACCCCTAGAGTCTTATTCCTGGGTTAGTTGCACTTTGAAACTTGATTGGATTTTCGGTTTGATTGTTTTTTTTTTTCTTTTCTGTATATTGAGGTCTCGCTCTCTTTCAACTGTCTGTCTCACACTTTGTTCTTCATTAACCCGAGCAATCAATACAGCATCTTAGAGTCAATCCATATGTGGCTTAATAAAAATACAGTCAAGTTCAGGTGAGTATTTCTGCGCTGAGACTTTCAGTGACATTTTATGACTGGAGGGACATAATTAATAATAAATGAAAAAAAAGTAAAAAAAATAAAATAATAATAAATAAATAAAAAATCCATGGCTGACAGCTACAGTCCCCTAAATCTGAGCAAAGTATGCTATGAAAATTTTGTCCTTTTATTATCTTTAGTTTTTTGCTCAAAACCATTTTTTTTTAATTGCTTTGAATGAGAGTTATTTTATTATTATTATTATTATTGGTGATGTAGGCGATACTGTAATGTAGAGTTGAAACTTTCTGACCCCAAAACCCAACACACTTCTGTAGTTCTCAGCTGTGATTCTTGAACATTTTTGTCACTCAAACCATCCTACTAACATCCTATCCAGCGGTTTAAAACACTTCCAGCTGACATTCCATTTCCAGAATGTCTTAATTATTGCCCTGGTGGTGGAAACAGGCAATTTCAATGTCTTTTTTGGTTGCTATATTTTATTATAACCATTTCCCATTTTATGAAGCTCAACAACCTTTTGCTACAAAGCACAGCTGTCTTCAATTTTACCAATTGTGATGAATGACTGAGTGAGTCTTGCCTTTGTGTTTCTTCATACAATATGCAAAGCTCTGTGAATCAGAAGGTCATGGTTGAAGAATGTCCTCCTCCTAGTCACCCAGGTGCACTAAAAGGGCTAAATATCAGAGGGAAAATATTTCAAAGATATATGCTCATACCAAGGTTATTATAGTTATCTTTAGGTTTTTTTAGTAGTATTCTTGATATTTGCTTTAAATCACAGTTTATTTTTGATTCTTTCATTTTCCTTCAGGTGAGTCCCTTTATTTATCAGGGGTCGCCACAGCGGAATGAGCCACCAACTTATCCAGCATATGTTTTACACAACAGCGGATGCCCTTCCAGCTGCAACCCAGTACTGGGAAACATCCATACACACTCATTCACACTCATACACAACGGTCAATTAAGTTTTTAATTCACCTATAGCGCATGTCTTTGGACTGTGGGGGAAACAAGCACCTGGAGGAAACACATGTAAACACGGAGAGAACATGCAAACTCCACACAGAAATACCAACTGACCTAGTCGAAGCTTGAACCAGCGACCTTCTTGCTATGAGGCGACAGTGCTAACCACTAAGCCACCGGTTTAGTTTTAGTTTGATTCATTAATAGTGTTGTACATTTTAGTTTAGTTTTTATTTTGAAAATACATTTATATTTAGGTTTTAGTTTTAGTTTGATTAATTCCAATATAGCAGAGCTGGCAAAACCCATTCAGTGTAGACCAAAGAAAAGTTTCATGCTTTTAATGCTTTTCTCTTGTGCAAACCTTTTAGTAATAAATACACAAACAGTTTGGACAGACACTAAACCCAAAAACATACAAATGCAACGTAAACAAGAATTTAGACAAACTTCTCCATTCAAAAGATAATACGTAAAACATAATGTTTTTTATATCCATATTTCTTTTAGTTTTTTCATTTATTTTTCATGATTTTTTTTTTCTGTCAAAGATGTATTTCTTTGTTTTTTGACCATATAGTTTTAGTCTTAGATTTAGTTTCTTTTTTCATTTATTAAAGTAGGCGGCATAATGGCTCAGTGGTAAGCACTGTCGCCTCACAGCAAGAAGGTTGCTTGTTCGAGTCCCGGCTGAGTCAGTGGCAAATCTGTGTTAAGTTTTCATGTTCTTCCTGTGTTCGCGTGGGTTTTCTTCAGGTGCTCTGGTTTCCCCCACAGTCCAATAATATGCACTACAGGTGAATTGGGTACACAAAATTGGCCCTAGTGTACAAGTGTGTGAATGTGAGATTGTATGGGTGTTTCCACGTACTTGGTTGCGGCTGGAAGGGCAAAAATTACACCGGAATATTTGTCAGTTCATTCCACTGTGGGAACCCCTGATACATAAAAGATTAAGCCGAAGGAAAATTAATGAATTTACTAAAGTAACCTTTGCTCATATGAATTAAAAGGGATGTAAATAATTGTAAAACACATCTTTTTAACAAATATATTATATTTATATATTTATATATAAAACCGTGTTGTTTTTTTTGCAATAATTTACTTTTAATTTAGGGGAAAAAAACTTTTTCACAGCTTATATTTATCAAGGGTGAAGGGCACTGTATCTGTGGCATTCATGGAAGATTAGTCAGCTTATTCATTCACACTAAGCTGGTAGCAACGATATAGGTCAAACATTCACAAAATACATGTACATGCATGCACTGAATCAGGCTTGAGAAGTTGTGACAACAAAAAGCAGATAAAAGAAAATCAGACAACCATCGGGTGAATTCCAGCTAATGTTGGGCTTGTTATGAGATGGGGTGCTGAGAAAGAGCCAGCAAAGTGAATAATGTATATGTGGGAGATCATGTGTGTTTATCAGAGGCCAGTCTAAACACAGGAAGTAGAAGCGCAAATCATCAGTTACCATCACAACCTGATCTCATCTTAACTCGGTAACCTAAAGAAACAAGTTCTCAGGCTGAAACAGCATTGTTTGTGTTTATGCAGACACAATAAACCACTTTCCAAGTAAAGTAGTGATGCCATTGAGATTGGAGGCTAAGTCCTCATCCAGTGTATAAATCTGTGGGAAATAGGATACAGTAATGCTTGAACAACTGACTAGATCTGCGGTGCAATTCAAAACAAAATTGTTAGCTAACTAAGGTCGTAAGTTGCATTATTAAAAAGTTCGTTGATTTGGCGTTTTTCAAATCTGTCGTTTCAACAAACATTCGCAAACTGCATTGCAAACTTGTACGGTTAGTTAGTAGTTAGTAGCATAGTTCCTGGTTGTGTTCTATTCCCTGTTATCCCCCTTTTGCCCTATTCATTTAGAACATTCCAACATTTAAACTCGAAATGTTAAAAAAAATTAATCTCTTATGTGTAACTTGCTTTCAAAGTATTTTTTTATTATCAATCTTTAAATTAACAATTTAATTGCCCTTCGTAGTGCACTTTGAAAACCTTTGAACACAGCTGTGGCTCATGACAAAAGCTATAAATGTTAAAAGCAGAATTTACAGGTTACATCTCCAATGCTTGTGAAAATAAACATATATAGATGTATAAAATGTATAAACAATATCCTAATTAATAATAATAATGATGATGATGATGATGATGATGATTATTATTATTTTTTTTATTTCTTAATAACTAGCCTACTGTAAATTGGACCTACAACCATTAACAATTTATATATGAGATTAGAATATGTATTAGCTTAGTAATTTTATAAGGAATACTCTCAATAATATTTGTAAAGGAAACATTTATAGGACATACATGTCTTTTAATTTTAATTAATATAGAAATTAGTGCATGTTTTTACCAAAACTAATATTTTTATTTTTATTATTTTTTAAAATAATTTGTGTGTGTGTGTGAGTGTAAAAAAATATAATTTGCATCAAAAAGATGGGGTTTTTCTCTAAAGAAGTAGTTACTCCACCCTGTTCAGAGCGTCATAATGGACGTTTTACGTAATAACTAATGTGGTTGAGAACAACAGCAGTTTTGGGAAGCACTCATCACTACATCGTTCTTTTCCCATTGATGCATCATACTATGATAGTTCAGCTGCAAATTATTTCGTTGTTTGGGAAATGCCCACCTGGATAGGAAAAAAAAAACCTGATAAATAAAAATAATATACATGTACATACACTGTCTGGATTATTTTTAAATTTCAGGGAAAAGGGGAATTTGAATGCACAGAAGCAAATGGAATGCACATGTACTGTAAATAATATTAATAATATATTAAAACAGATTTCCCTACAATTTAATATATTAATTATTTTAGTTAAATTACTGGCATTGGTATTTATTAATTTCCTGTGGTTGATAGAAAATTAACAATGTGAATTCAACAGATAGCAAACATCTAATGTGCTCTATTCTGATCATTATATTTGCCTGAAAAAAAATTATATATATATATATATATATATATATATATAATAAAAACATTCTAAGTATATAGCAAAAAAATCATTAGATTTAATTTGCCATGCCTCATTTAATAATAAACTACAGATTTAAACATTGTTAGACTGAAATAACATTTTGCTTTCTAGGTGGGACATAAACTGAGGCAATACAACCATTTATGAACTATTACCTAATTGATAAAAATTCACTATAATCTTTTCCCTCTTAAAATAATTGCCATGCACCGCTTTAGCTGCCGGCATCAGTCTGTATATAGACAACCACAAGTCCAAGACCACCAAGTGGGAGTTTGACTGACACTTTTGAGAAGGAACACACATTTGATTCACTTAAAAAGAAAGGTATAAAGTTTCTGTTTAATTGTCCCTGCGGAGAAGCTTGCTTTCTAAAAGAGGCAAAAAAAGCAAAGTGGTGGGAGCCAAGAAGAAAATGGAGATCACATTATTACAACGCACTTATGCCGTTCCATGGTTTTAATTTTAGAGCACAAACAACAGGTCGGCAAAATAAAACAACAGTGCTGTGGAAAAAGGGATCCCATTAAAGTGAGTTGGCACAGAGTGTAAAAGGAAAACGTTGTGATGATTCGACTCATATGGTGCTATGCAGTAATAGAGGGCTGGAAGCATTTTGCTTGAGGAGAGTCTAATCACTAGCAGGTACACATTGCAGCTGATGTCATTCACAAGAGGGGCTTTTTTAGGCTATAAGAGCGGTAATTCAATGAGGATGCTGTGGCAAAGAGACTATGCTCCTGGTGTAGCTCCTTTGGTAAAGGCTAATGATTCACCTATATTTTTTATGGCCTATTCAGATTTATTTTTTTTTTTTTTTTACAATAAAATTTATTTTCCCTCTATCTATTTAAAAAAAAAATCAAAAATAAATGAAAAGTATAAATGTATTATTTGATTTTGTAACTTTAGAGCTTAAAATATACATGTACAAACAAAAACATTACATATATACAAGCAGTCGTTTAACAGTGTTTTGTGCTGTAACAAAGCAGCTGCATTGTTAAGTTTGTAAGCATTTTACAGAGAAAATCTAAACAGAAAATAACAAATAAACTTTTCTGAAGACCTACCATCCCAATTCGTCATTAGCATTGGGAATAGTTTGCTTCTGACTATTTTTCAACAGGATTTATGCAAGTATCACCAAGTCAATTGTAATATATTTTAAGACATTTTAAGACTATTAAGAATGAAATTTCACACTTACCATGTATAGTTTTTGATGGCCCAGCAGAATCTTTTTACTTCCCTCATCAACAGACTATTTTTTTTTTGTTTTTAACTACATATTTTAAATAATGTCTCAAAACAAGCACTCCCTATTTACATACAATTTATATTTCAACATATTTTAACCCTCTACCGCATGCATTATGATAAATCTATTAAAAAGTATTTGACTGTTTTTCTTTCCTTTGAATGGCTTAACTTGAGGTGCTGTAAAGAAAATTTTAAAAATGTATTTTATTTAAGGTAATTTATGGTATGTTGTCATAAGGCAACACAATTCCAAATTTAGAATTTTCCTTATAATTAATAATTTTGTTGTTTAAAATGATTTAACTGGTGTTGCTGAATATTATCGAAAACAATCATATTGTATTATCATGTATACAACATACAGTAAATTTAAATATTTTCTCTAGTAAATATTATAACAAATAAATAACAAGTCTAATTTATCCAGATGCATCAGAATAATGTAGCTACTAGCTAACAATGTTTATTTATTATACTTCACCTGTCTTATCTCCCTCAGAGATAACTTACTTGAACTGTCTCCATCATTGTTATTATCAAATATCCAATCTGCATCCTACTCATGGTCCCTAAAACCCATCTCATCCTCACTTTCATCTGCAGGAAGAGTCAATTCTGTCCTTTTCTTGTTTCACTTACCATAGAACATGGTGGTGCTCGCTTATACACTGTTCCCTGTATTCATATCTATTCAAAAGTAGTATTGCCATTAAAACTAATGCAGATGCCATGAACATACAATTAATCAACATTATAATACAATCATTCATGTTGTTATTGTTAAACTTTAAAAGGTCACAGCTGACCTTGCTAGCTAGCTAACCCATTGCAATATTGCTTGTTCCACAGTGTTGCCATTTGGAAACACATACATTTGATCAACTTACAAAAAACTAATTAAATATGTCATCATAACTTACTGGAGGTGATGTTTCAGATTTTTTTGTGGCTCTGACATAATTTGATCCTTTGTTTTTATTGACACTTCACTGGCTAAAAGGTCTTCTCTTTATAACAAAAAATAAAAAAATAAATAAAATAAATAAATAAATAAATAAATAAATAAAATAGAACATCGGTCTTAAAGAAACAGTGGCAGGGAAATGAACATAAATATCATGTTGCCTTATGGCAACACCATGCGGTAGAGGGTTAAAAAAAAAAACTCTTTAAAAACTTCAATAAACTGAATGTATGCACAACAGACTGTTATAATATTGGTTATAGATAGAGTTTTGCTAAAAGTTTTGTATTGTTGGTGATTGGATAGGTATTGGATCAATTGGGTAGCTTTAAAGCAAGGGTGCCCAAATTTGGTCCTGGAGGGCCAGTGTCCTGCATGTTTTAACCCCAAATAAACACACCTGAACCAGCTAATCAAGCTCTTCAAAGGTATATTAAAATCTTCAGGCAAGTGTTTTGAAGAAAGTTGGAGCTAAACTATGGAGGACACCGGCCCTCCAGGACCGAGTTTTGGAACCACTGCTTTACTGAACCAAAAGAAAATTAAGCCCTGTTTATTAGGATTTTTAGACTTACAAGAGAATATTTCAGTGAGTTGAAGACTTTTTAAGGCCTGAAATTTAGTATTTAAAATTTAAGACATTTTAAGTCTTTTTAAGACCCCACGAACACTCTGTAGTGAAAGACTGCACTTAATAACTTACTGTTTACCTTCCATGTGTGAACATATGTGTCTATTAAAATACAAACAATGAGTTAAATGTGAATTTACTTTTAGGCTACTATATGTGGAAAAAAATATCTATTTTACAAGAAAGATGTCTTGTGAGTATGCACAGTGTCTGTCTGTGGTCTAGATCTGCAGGTGTTCAGAATGCCAACTGATAATTTTCCCACAGACTGCTGGGCACAATCGTGCATTCACAATGGTGTAAACCAGGGGTCACCAATCTCGGTCCTGGAGGGCCGGTGTCCCTGCAGGGTTTTGCTCTAACTTGCCTCAACACACCTGCCTGAATGTTTCAAGTATACCTAGTAAGACCTTGATTAGCTTGTTCAGGTGTGTTTGATTAGGGTTGGAACTAAAATCTGCAGGACACCGGCCCTCCAGGAACAAGTTTGGAGACCACTGGTGTAAACCATCATAAGAAAGGTCACCTATACATCTATATCAGTTTTTTTTTTTTTACTAATATAATTATTTAATGATACAGAACAGAGCTATTTCCAACCATTCAAAGGGCTGACAACCCAAACATCTTGTTTTTTACATCCTTCAGAAGTGATCAAGTTTTAAACCTCTCTGTAAAACCCTGCATGCAAGTCAAAAGCTACTGTATACAAAACAAAACAAACCTTTGTGTGTGTGTGTGTGTGTGTGTGCTAGTTTAAAGCAAAAACCATTTAATTCCGAATTCCGGCTGGTTGATTGGTGCATGCCTGGAACAGGTCTACATGAGTGCTCGTCTGACTAAAAGCAGTGGATTTCTAACCGCAAATCTGGCCTTCATGGGATCTTGCAGGAACCCTGAGAGGTTCTTGGTGACTGGGCTCTGGATGACCTTTCAAAGCTACATGCCCACGAATGAAAGATGCAATCTGCCACCTGCTGACGTGATATGTCTCATTATGTTAATACCATTCTCAGTCTCCTGTGACAGAGCTGACTTTCGACCTAGTTTTAAGATGCTAGGAAGAGCCTTTCGTTTACTGCGTATATTGGGCCTACTTATGTCTAACAGAGGATGAATATTACCCGCTGAAAGCCTATTATTAGGGTGCTGGTAAATTTAAATTCAACTCTGAATAGGGACAACTCGCTCATCTGCTATCAAACAACACTAATGTAAAGTCACCGGAGAAATCTCTCTCGGTCTTTTTGCTTTTTCTTTTAATTTATGTGCTTTTAGCCTTTACTTTATAGGACATAGAGCTGACATAAAAGTGTAGGTAAAGAGGAAAAAAAGCAAAGTGGGACACAATGCAATCTGGACTTAAACCCAGGGAGACCATAGAAAAATATTTGTATATGAGTTTTATGTGCTTTAAATATTGTGTTTATAAACAAATACAATCCATTTAATTCAATATAATATATCAAGGGCGTAGGTTTGCGCTTGACATTGGTGGGGACAGGGGACGAGTCACCCCCGCCAAAAATGAATATTGTTTTTATTTATATATATAATAGCTCTTTATGTCCACCTCTTCTTGCTACCTCCATCCTCACTTGTGCAAGGCACACACCTCACACATCGGGAAATTCCCCCTGCGCATGGCGCGCAGTTGTTTTGGCGCTGTTTATATCTGAAACTATGATCTGAAAGCAGCCACTCGCATGACAGCAGGGTAAGGCACAGCCAATCACAATGTTCATATGTATTTGGGGGCGGTGCGACTCGAGGAGATAACGTGATTTAACCCTTTCAGCATGTATAAGTTTATACTGACAGCGAGATGTTTTTAAGTGAATTAAATTATTGGTGGGGTAATTTCGGTAGTTTGTGGATATTGGTGGGGACACGTACCCACCGTCCACTCTAAATCTACGCCCTTGTAATATATAACAGAATTAAAACACAGTGTGTATTATGTTGTCATTATAAAAGCATTCTAGTGTTTTGTGACAGACTTAAGCAAAGTAAACAATAAGCACAGACTATGAGATTTTATGTGTTGTATAGGCAGTTTTATATTATAACACAAGCTTTGACTCAGTAAGTGAGCTTGCGGCTATACTTACAGTATATCAGCTTCATTGATTATAAAGCAAACTCTTTGAACAGTTTCTGTATAGATGAAATCCATTTGTAATTTGAATAAATTACTTATTTTTATTTATTTAATTATTCATTTAAGGAGAAACACGCCTATGAAAATGCTAGATTTAATCTACAAGCACAATGTTTAGTAATCATACAAATGATTAAAAGTCAAAATAAATATGTGCATTGCATGTTAGGATTTTTAAAAATCGATTTCATCATGTCTTGCTCACAAAATAATTGTTAAATAAAAGTTTGTTGTATTCAAATGTTTGTGCACATATTGTACAGTGCTTACAGTAGTTCAGACAACCCAAGCTACCAGTATACAGTGTTAGTATTTCTAATGATAAAATAAGTTGTCATAATTGTAAACATGTATTTTTTGGTGTCACGGTGGAGCAGTGGGTAGCACGATCGGCTTACAGCAAGAAGGTCGCTGGTTTGAGCTTCGGCTGCGTTAGTTGGCATGTGTGGAGTTTGCATGTTCTCCCCGTAATCCTGTGGGTTTCCTCCTGTTTCACCCACAGTTCAAAGACATGTGGTATTGGTGAATTGGGTAAGCTAAAATTGGCCATAGCGCATATGTGTGAATAAGTGTGTTTGGGTGTTTCCCAGTGTTGGGTTGCAGCTGGAAGGGAATCTGCTGTGCAAAACATATGCT